CACTGGCGTAGTAGAAATGGTAGGGCAGTGTAAATGCGAAGAGTTTCTGGAACATATTTAGAGGAATTGTACTAAATCGATAATAGTCATCTTTGTTATCTCAATTACACTCTTATCATAATCAACAATACAATGCATTTAGCAAAACACCAATAATAATATGGAAAATTTATAATTTTGCCAATCATTGTTTTTAAGCATTTCAATTATCAATTTTTTTTACTTACCATTTATACAATTTTCCAGGTATTTCATTTCGTTCATTGCATCATAGGTGAATCCTCCATGTTTTGCAACGCAGGAATCAACTTCGGCTTGTGCCTTCTTCATAATTTCTGGATGCCTTGCCATTTCGTAGAAGAAGGATGACATTGTTATGGACGATGTTTCAAATCCAGCCAAGAAGAATAGATGCACCTCTGCAGTTATCTCCCCAGGGACATTTGTTTCTCCTCTAAAATTTAAAATAGCTCATTAACTACCTTTTCTTATGGTGAGTTATTGAAATCATAACAGTATTATTTCCTATTATCAAGGAAAACATAAATTTTCCTTTATACCTTTTTATACATTTTTGTTCTAATTTTTTTCCAACTTTTAGTGTACTTTAGAAATAATAGATATATGTGTATAGTGAGCAATATGGATCGCTATAACTCAAATTAAACTAAATAAATAATTAGTTTTCCCACGGAGAGGTTTACATTGTCATTATATAATCCATTTGCTCATTTGGTTTGCGACCTCTCGAGTCATTTGAATCGTTCTATAACAACTGTGACAAAAGTTATTATTGGAATTTAGCCCGACGATAATTAGAGTAAATTTGGTTAAATTTCTTTAGTATTATTCTAATATCTTTATATATTGCGCGAAGTTATTAGAGTTTACTTACTCTGAATCTCCACTTTCATATCATCATCATCTCTAATTTTGCCAGTATTTCTCAATTGAATCAGAAGTTGCATGAAATCGTTTCTCATGACACCACTTTGTTCTCGATAATTGACCAGTTTGCTCAACTACATTTGTCATAAAGTCGTGTACATCTGGCTTAACCACAGATATATTAAGAGTCTTCAAGTACTCTGGTGAGTGAAAAACATAATATTCTTATTGCTTCCCAAGTAGTCGGAAAATCGAAGATCCTTCTACCGATATTTCGAAATTCATCATTCGGATTTTTGATGGAATTAACATCAATTCCCATTGCCACTGAAGAAATGATATCTGTGGTGTAACGCGCTGCTAGATCTTTGAATTCCAAAACTTCCTGACCTTTAGCCTTTTCTTCGAGGTATATTTGCAAATTTTCACCACATTTTATAACTGTGTTCATCATCATTTTCAATTTTCCAGAAGTAAATGCAGGTGTCAATGCGTTCCTTAAGTTTTTCCAGTGGTTGCCTGCTAACTGAACAAATGTGCTACTAAAGCATTTTTCTCCGGGTCAATCTCGTTTCCACGATCTTGGAAATGTTGAAAATCTTTAACTAAAACCAACTTCACTATTTGTGGATCCTTAATAACTAATCTCGGTGTTGCAAACACATACATTCCAAAAAATGGAGCTTTGATTTTATTGTATAAATCAGTCACATTTTCACCCATAGATTTCCTTAAAGTGAACATGGGCGCGACATTTCCGAATGGAAAACTTGGCTTAATTGTCGGTATACCTCTTCTAGACCAATACGAAAACGCGTTTAGGAAATAAATATAAATAATTGCAAAAATTACAGCTAATGTGGCTGTAATATCTTTTAAAACGGTATCAAATATTAGAGCCATTACTTCTTCTTAGCCCGGTGGCTTAAATTGAAATGATTGATGTACAAAATATTGTTGATTCAATTTCGCTCAATATTTATGACTAAGTGTGTCCATTGTATTTTTCAATACCGATAAACCTATAATTTATGATCATGACTGTTCGCAACGATTATGTAAACAAGTTTTCAGCACGCAAGATATAATTACTTATCTTATCAATTGCATATTTGGGAGACACTACAATTTGTATCTTTATTAGATGACTGTGATTTTGACACATTTTGACGAAGAAATAATAAGATCAGCACATAACATCTCAACATAGTCAATTGTGTATCGAAACGTATGGAACCCTCACTATTTTTTTAAATATAAATTAGTTTTTTTTTAATAATTCAATATATGCTTGTATAAAAAATTATTTAATTACTGTTAGAAAAGTCGTCTAATTGTTAAATGAAAATAAAAAATGAAACTTGTTAAAGGTGGACATTTTAGATTTGTGATAATATATTTAAAACAAATCTAGTTTTATAAATTATCTGCAAATATGGATAAAACATTACACATATTGATATTTTGTATGATGATGTACAAATATCAGATATCATCATTTAGATATTTATATATAAGCAATATAGTTCATGGTACTTAATTTACCACGTTAATCATACATAAGTGTCATTTATGATTAAATTGATCATTTAATTGTTTATAGAATTATTATTAAGGTCACAATTGTTAACAAATATAAATTTAATTTAAAAGGCACTATTGTAAATATCTTAAAGAATTACATAATGATATTTTGATAGGTAAATTTAAAGTTTGTCGGTCAGACTCATAAAGTATTGTAAAGGATTCAGTTTCAGATAATCCACATTTAAATATATTTATTGGATATTTATTTCTCAACCATTAATATTTCGTTATTATTGTTGTTAAATGGTTTTTCGTTAAATTAATGTTGGTAAAATTTCATTTCTAGTTTATCTAAATCTCGTGTTTTTTTTACATTAAGTAAGAGGAACGGTTTGTCAATATTCATGACTTACATGGAGATCCTCAGCTTTACTCTTCTGAGATTTCGAAGAAATTTGGCATGGATATAGAGTTGATAGTGAAACCGTACACCTTAAAATTTTTCATAATTAAACCTTGCCTCATAAGCCTATAATATTTCAAGGGTTGCGATTTGACTATCATCTCCATCGCCATGAGAAGTTTTATCAAAATCTCAGAAGAAAACTCATGAGGTTCTCCTTGTTAGAAGTGTTATTGTAACCTACAAAATATTGAATTGAAATACGGTGCTTTTCAATTTTATAAAATAAAATAAAATTTATTCTCATTATTTAGGGATAAATAATGCAAAATACATTACTACCATATTTTGGTTTCACATGATTTAAGAAAAGGCATAACTAAAATTTGAACAAAAAGACATGGAACTTTGTTTGAAAAATCAAATTAATCCGGTTTAATTAGTTAGTATTAAAACAACATGGCGTTTTTTTAAATATAAAATTGATTTTTATCAATTAAATTTTCATATTGTTCTGATGCAATGAAAACTCGTCGTGAAACAAAATCATTTGGCCAAAAGCTGTGTAAAAAATATTAAATTTAAAAAAAATCTACTCATTAAAACTTGTAGAAGTTAGTATTAATTAAGACTATTTATTTATTTTTGACCAGTAACCATAAATATTTTTTACAAAAGAACCAAGTAAAATAAAATCGAAACTTGTGATATGAACCTTTATAACGGTTTGTACATATGAACATATAATGTATATAAATAATATAGACAATATTGTAAAGTTACTAAACTTATGATGAAGTTTATTTTGTTATAAAAATATAGCATAAGATCATTTTTGTAGGCACTGTTTTGTAAAAATTTCAATTTCTGTTCGGATAAAACTGAACTAAAAATCATCTCAGAAATTTGCACAACGATTGTAAGTTTGGAAAATTTTGGATTATTATAAACAATTTTTGGGAAACTGTATTTCATAGAGCAGTATTTAGAATAAGAAATTTTTTAAGAAATATAAATGGGATTTCAAAATGGTTACAAGGTTGTAGGTAACTCATATAAAAATACCTCAGACAATTCTATGTTAATATAATTTGATACAAATGCGACATACCAGTAACAAATTGTTTAAAAATAATATATGTTTTTCTGATTGACCATAAAAAGACAATTTTACATTTATATAATAATTACAAAAAAAATAAAAATACATAGACTTCAAAAAGTTTTGCAGCTCAAAACTTAAATATAATAGGTCCAGAGATAATTTTTATAGAAATGTTTCATCCGATAGGCCTAAAATATTTAAAATTTTGTAAATATATAATTCTCGTGGCCCAAAAGATGGTATCAATTATACTACAATTATTAAAATAAAATTTTAGAGCTAAAACTGTAAATAACTAATTTAGTACTTCAAATATTTCTTCTATCTAGATTTCTGTGATTTTGATCAACTTTAGTATTATTAAAAGTATTAAATATTTCTGCGCACGTTGTTAAGACATCCACAAAGTCTATTAATATTATATTAATATTAATATAAGTGTAGTATAATAACTTAACTTGTTGATAATCATGTAGTTTAAATTAAATTTAATAGTTCAACTAATTTAATGATAGAATATTATAATAAAAATTCGTGATTTGTAATAAAACTATTTTGGAAATATTTTGGGCGTTTATTTTGTTCACTATCATCTTCATTCAGCGCAGAAATTATTATCATATTATAAATGAATTTTATATCAATTTGAATAATTTGGCCAGGTATTTTTAAATTCAATTGTTTTCGGAAAATAATATATTTTTTTTTTTCAAAAAAATTTTTTTTTGTATATCGAAAATAATTCAGATTTTAATTTTAATAATGGCTAGTTCTAAAGCTTACTTATATACTACAAATAAATAATTTTAACTTTGTGATTCAGTTCATATAATTCTTATGAATATTAGACAATGTTACAGTATTTATAATAATTAATTTAAAAACATTTAATATTCCTCGAAAGTTCCAGCAATTTGCCTTAAGGCACGATGCCATACACCACTAGTTTTTAAATATATAAAAATATTATAAAATTAAAAAAATATATACTTATCTATAAAACTAGGTTATAAGAAATTCGTCATTTGGAAATGAACTCAAATAGATTATTATTATTGATGATGAAAACAGTAATTTTTATTTTCGGTGTGCAACTTGAAGCCAAATTCCACCCAAAAGTGAAACTCCTGATGATTCTGGATCGTGTCGAATTTCCTGCGAAGTTTTTGCACTTTTCAAAATATCAAATTTATATAATGTCATAGCCAATCCAACTTTCATTTGCAATTTTGCCAATCGCATACCTACAAAAGAAAAGTTAATTTTTAAATAGCAAGTGCTGAAAATTGATAAGCTTTATTAAATGTAGATTTTTTTCCTTTTTATGTATGTATAATTTAATTATTGCATGTGTTTACTAATGGATAAAACAACAACATCATGGAATCAGAAATGTAAGTCTGTAGATCTCTATATATTAGGGCGGTCCTTAACAAAGACATTTTCGAATTTCTTTGCTTCCAAGGGCGCCAACGCTTCCAAATGCATAAAAAATAAATCTCTAATAGTATTAGCTCTTAATATAAACATTTAGATAGAGCGCACGCCAATTGAAAGTTTCTTATATTTGTTATTAACATACGTCATTAAGTAAATTCTTGCGCCATCTGTATAGTATTTGTGAACTCAAATATTATGACACATAAGAATAATTATAAACCACTTAAAATCTAAATAAATCTATGTGGGTTGTTTTATAATATTTATTCATCATGGAATAATTTGAGTTTCAACTTCATCAATTAAATAATTATTTTGCTGCAAAATTAATCTTGATTCCATGATGAATAGGATTTAATTAGAGGTAAAGTAGTTTATAATTTTTTCTTTTAGAACTATCACTATTTGTGAATTACTTTAAATTTCATCTGCATTCAATTGATTCGTAAAAATAGAGTCGTTGCTTGCTATTAAATATTATTTTTGATGTATTCTTACTTCTATTATTTTTGATTTATTCTTACTTCTAATTCATTTTTTTTTCATGATTAAAAATTTTAATCCCAAAATGTATACCATATGACTATATATATATTTACCTATGCAGGCCCTTCTTCCTTCACCAAATGGCATGTATGTGTATGGTGTAATTGAATCTTTGCGATCATCACTGAATCGATCAGGATCAAACTTTTCAGGATTTGAAAAATATTTAGGATCCCTTTGCAATCCCAATAGCGGAATCAATACCCTGGTACCTTTCGGAATTACTGTTTTGCTTCCAGGAATTTTGTAGTCAGTTAAACACTCCCTTGTCAGTGAAAGCAAAACAGGATACAGACGTAATGTTTCTATTAAAAATAGAATGAGAGAATTAATTTGATATTGGGTAAATTATTTGTATTGATGGTTAATTAGGTGTTAGTGCTGATTACCGCTTATGCAATTTTCCAGATACTTCATATCGTTCAGGGCTTCATATGTAAAACCACCATACCTTTTAACACAAGTATCGATTTCATTCTGGACTTTTTTCATAATGTATGGGTTTTGGGAAATTTCATAAAAAAATGAAGACATTGTCATTGAAGATGTTTCAAAACCTGCTGCAAGGAATAAGCGAGCTTCAGCAGCAATTGCTTCAATCGATAAAAGCTTTGCATCTGAAATGTAAATTATTTTATAGTAGCTTTTACTAATATGACTTATGATCGTGGTGATTAGTGATGTCCAGCGTCATACTGCTTGATACCGATCTAGGCGAGGTTGGGAGCAACCAGCAACTAATCTGCATTTTTTCCACTTTTCCACAACTGGATCGTTAAATATTATTATTAAAAAAAATAAGTTTACCTACCTTTGATTTTAACTTTCATGCCATCATCTTCATTAACTTTTCCTGAATTCCGTAACTGTATGAGCATCTGCATAAAATCATTTCTCACTACTCCTTTTTTCTCTCTAAGAGTCACAATCTGTTGTACAATATTCATTATAAATTTGTACACATCAGCATTAATAATTGAAATTCTTAATAAATTTATCAATTCCGGGCAATTGTGGAACAATAACTTCACGATAAAGTCTTTATAATTGGATACTTGGAAGATCTTTTTACCAATTTGTCGAAATTCGTCGTCAGGATTTTTTACAGAGTTTACGTCTATTCCAAAAGCTACTGATGCAATTATATCAGTCGTGTATCTTGCTGCCAAATCCTTAAATTCAACTACTTCACTGTTCTTTGCCTTTTCTGATAAATGTTCTTGAAGTTGTTCTCCGCATTTTGTGATCGTTTCCATCATAACTTTCAGTTTTCCAGATGTAAAAGCTGGTGATAGAACATTCCTCAATTTTACCCAAGCCTCACCAGATAAACTAAATAAATTCGATGCCAAAGCATTTGTTTTGGGATCAAACTCATTTCCTCTGTTTTGGAAGTTCTGAAAATCTTTTACCATTATCATTTTTATTAACTCGGGATCTTTTACCACCAATCGTGGGAAAAGGAATACATATATACCAAAAAATGGTTTTTGGACACTGTTGTATAAGTTTGACATCACTTGGCTCATTGACTGTTTTCGGAAAAACATTGCACTTATGTTACCAAATGGAAAAGAAGGTTGGATGTATGGTACATCCTTTCTTTTCCAATAAGTAAATGAATACAAAAAATAACTATAAATTACTGTAATAATTATTACAATTATTGCAATAATTACTGTTAATACATTATTTAAGAATATCATTTTGAAGTTTTGGCTTCTTTTAGTAACTGAAATGTTTATTATAATTTTACACCAATTAGAATTAATACAAGTTTATGTTAGTACACAAAAATTCAAACTCGTAGTGGATTTGTTATGAACGATGATGTGACAATATTATTAAATGACCAGCACAATTATTTTGGTACAATCTGTTAGAGATAAGTTTTACTAACGACTAAAAGGTTATCACTTTAAATAAATACGTTGGATACAACTGATTTTTATTTACAAAATTAATTATCTATAATTATGTATTTAGAAATACATCGAATTTACAAATAAATATTTCATAAAATGCTATACTGCACCTTATTACTAAAAATTTTAAAAATAATTAATGTTTGGCGAAATTTGCATTTTTACTTAATATGCAAATGTAATTATTCCTGAGTCAAAATATTAGCTCAGTGATATCAGTTCTGCAATTATCAATCGATATTTCAATCGAGTTTTTTTGTTCGTATTATTCGATTTTAGCTACTCAATTAATTTTTTTTATAATAATTATAATATGTTATAGAAGAGTTTGGAATTCTTATTTATATAAGTTAGTATTAAACTACTTATAATAATAATACATCAGGACTAAAATATCCTGGATTAAGACAAAAATATCCTGACTAAGATTAAATGTACCAACATAGTTGAATATATGCAAATACAGTGAAGAAGTTAAAAATGAACACAAAACTGAGGTGGAATCTTTTTTGAAATAACAACGTCAAGTGAAAAGTCCGACTATAAATAATAATGGACTTGATTAACGACGGAAAGAAAATAACATGAAAGAAATTCGGCTCAAAATGGCTCAAAATTTTGACCATCAACTGACTGAAGTGCAAATCATCTACGTGATTTGCGCATTTTAAAATATTTTAATTAAGAATCAATGTTTTCTCGGTGAGTATAAACTAGACGAATTTTGATACTAATTATCTATTACTCATTAAACTTTTCGTTTAGCTACTTTCAGCCAGATTCCACCTAAATGTACAACACCCGCAGTAGTAGGATCATGCTGGAATTCTTCTGATGTTTTAGAACATTTCAAAATATCAAATTTGTGAAGCACCATTGCCAATCCCATTTTCACTTGCATTTTTCCCAAACGCATGCCTAAAAGTAAAATTCTATAACATATTTCATAACAATATTATTATTTTGATGTAATTCTTTATTACCAATGCATGCCCTTTTTCCTTCTCCAAAAGGAAAATATGTATAAGGTTTTATGGAACCTTTACGCTCATCACTGAATCGGTCTGGATCAAATTTCATTGGGTTTGGGAAATGATCTGGATCTCGGTGGAGACCCATTAACGGTATCAATACTCTGGTGCCTTTTGGAATGAATGCGTTGTGTCCAGGAATTTTGTAGTCTATTGAGCATTCGCGAACAAGGAATGGTAACGTTGTATAAATCCGGAGAGTTTCTGTAATAAAAACAATCTTTTGGCATTAAAAAGCATTTGGCCTTCTATTAACTAAAGTTCCTGTACGAATCAGAATCTGGTAAAGAATCAAAATTATATATTATCATGGAGAGCAAATGCAAATTTTCAATCATAACATAGATATATTAGGGTAAGACTACAGTCATATACATTTGTTTGTAATTTTCTTACCATTAATGCAATTTTCCAAATATTTCATATCATTCATTGCTTCATAGTTAAAACCTCCATGTTTTGCGACACTTGCATCAATATCTGCTTGAGCTTTTCGCATGATGTCATGGTTTTGTGCCATTTCATAGAAAAATGATGACATTGTTATAGAAGATGTTTCGAAACCAGCCAAGAAGAACAAATTCACTTCTGATGCTATAGCATCCAAGGATAACTGCTTTTCTCCTGAAAGAATCGCAAGTAAGAATCATACATATACATTAGGGTGGTCCTTAATATAGACATTTTTTAATTTCCTTGCTCCCAAGGGCTCAAATGGTTCCAAATTAATGAAAAATAATTTTCTGAAAGTTTTAGCTCTTAATATTAACTTTTAGATAGTGCGCAATTCAATCAAACTTCGTATGGCAATAGCATGAAAAAAAAATTTTTTAGGTACAACTTAGCGACAAATGAATTAAAAGTGAAAATTTGTGTCATTTTTATTGAAAATTCTACGCTCAAAATTTTTGAAAATTTGTTCATGCTATTTCCATACACAACTTTGATTGAATTGCGCTCTATCTAAAAGACAATATTAAGAGCCAAAACTTTCAGAGAATTGTTTTTTATCAATTTGGAACCATTTGAGATCATGGGAGCAAGGAAATTCGAAAATGACCATTTTAAGGACCACCCTAATGTATACATTTTTTTATAAAATACTCAAAAATGTATAGGTATCAAAAAACATTTGTTGGCTATCATTTTTTATGATATCATTCTATTACCTTGTACTTTGATTTTCATGTCATCATCATCTGTAATTTCACCACCATTTCTCAACTGAATCAAAAGTTGCATGAAATCAGGTCTTGTTATATTATTTTCTTCTCTAAAGGTCACTGTTTGTCTAACAACATTCATCATGAAATCATAAACTTCACGACTTATATTTGCCAATTTAAATTTATTCAGGATTTCAGGTGACATGAAAAACATAATGGACATGACAACATCCCATCTTGTGGGTAAATTAAATATTTTCTGCCAATTTCGCGAAATTCGTGATTTGGATTTTTCACTGAGTTTACTTCATTGCCTAAAGCTACTGAAGAAATTACATCTGTTGTGTATCTTGCAGCCAAGTCTTTGAATTCGAGTTCTTCTTTACTGTTGGATTTTTCTTCAAGAAATTCTTGCAAATTTTTACCGCATCTAATAATAATCTCCATCATAGCTTTAAGTTTTCCCGATGTAAATGCCGGTGACAGAGCATTTCTTAATTTTTGCCAAGAATCTCCTGATATGCTAAATAAATTCGATTGCAAAGCGTTGGATTTTGAGTCAAATTCATTGCCCCTGTTTTGGAAATATTGGAAGTCCTTCACCAAAATTAACTTGATCAATTCTGGATCCTTTACTACCAATCTGGGTATACAAAACACATAAATACCGAAGAATGGCGCTTTTATGCTGTTGTATAAATCAGCTATATTTTGACTCATTGATTTTTTGGATCTAAACACAGGTTCTACATTTCCGAAAGGAAAAGTTGGTGCAATTGATGGAATATTTCTTTTTTCCCAGAATGTGAAAGAGTGTTTGAAATATACGTAAGTTGCTGCAAGTACTAACACCAGAACGGCCACCAAAACTTCAAACACATATTGGATAAAGTCGAACATTTTCACCTTTTCACTTTTATTCACGCAATAAAATATTATAATTACACGACTAGTACATATCAATTATTTTTTCGTGTTACTTTGCCAAAAATATACCACAGATTATCAACTGTTAACGCGCTTCATAAATAATGCTTATTCATGATTTTGATAAAGTTGTTTTTACGCCGAATCCAAACGATTTCATATCGCATAATGGCATATCTTATATATGATAAAATATTTATTATGTCATCATACAATCATTTATATTAACAGAAATTAATGAACAGTGATTATAATTACATCGTTAAAGACAATTGAAAAGACATATCTTTAAATAGAACAAATGCTTATCTAAATGATTGCCATAATTATAATTTATTTATGAGTTTTTTTGTACATATATTATTTCCGAATCCATTTATATTATAATTCATGTCTAAATAAACATTACCTATTATTCGATAAATTACAATAATGCTAAAAATATTCATACATAAATATACCGTCACGACTTTTCAAGTTGTTTTTCTTCTATTTTATATAATTATATAGCATTTGTTGCTGAAAATACGAGCAAATATAAAGTATTCTTAGTATAAAAATTATTTCTAAATTAATATCATTTTTTATTGTTTACGAGGAGCAACCTTTAGCCAAATTCCTCCTAAGTGAACCACACCAGCAGTTGTTGGATCATGTTGAAACTCTGTGGATGTTTTGGAACATTTCAGAATGTCGTATTTTTGAAGCACCATTGCTAAACCAACTTTTACTTGCATTTTTCCTAAACGCATACCTAGAGGTGTAAAAGATATATAGTTCGTAATCTAAAATCATAAATGTTTATACAAAAAAAATGTAATGAGTATGATATTTTAATTTTTTTACATGCTGCCAGTCAGAAATATGGAGTTGTGTGTAGTATTGGAGAAGATTTGGGAAAATAAAATGCATCCAAGAAGGTAGCAAATGAAAAAGTAGTACTCAGTAGATTGAAAGCAAAAGTTCAAGAAATAGAAGATGCTCTCACATTAAGGAGTTACCTCCAGGTAATGTCTTAACATTTAAACTGGACGTACATGAAGTTTATCATAAATTACTGATAAACAAAATTGATTAAATTTATTTTTACTCATATAAAATGTCTATTTTCTATTTTATATATTGCTTAAATTTTCTTTCCAATTACCAATTATTGTCTATTGTTTTAATTTATCTCACCTATACAGGCTCGTTTTCCTTCACCAAAAGGGATATACGTATAAGGAACAATGGATCCTTTTCTTTCATCACTAAAACGGTCAGGATCGTACTTCAACGGATCTGGAAAATATTCAGGATCTCTGTGTAAACCCATTAATGGTATCAGCACCCTGGTTCCTTTAGGAATTACTGCATCGTGTCCAGGAATTTTGTAGTCAATAGAGCACTGGCGTAGTAGAAATGGTAGGGCAGTGTAAATGCGAAGAGTTTCTGGAACATATTTAGAGGAATTGTACTAAATCGATAATAGTCATCTTTGTTATCTCAATTACACTCTTATCATAATCAACAATACAATGCATTTAGCAAAACACCAATAATATATGGAAAAATTTATAATTTTTGCCAATCATTGTTTTTAAGCATTTCAATTATCAATTTTTTTTAACTTACC